TTCTTGGTTGGTAGTCTTTTGATTGCTTCTTCAATTTCATCCATTGATATTGGTCTGTTCAAATTGTGTGTGTTCTCCTGACTCAGTCTGGGCAAATCAGATGACTTAAGAAATTTATCGATGTCTTCACTATCTTCTATTTTATTGGAATATAGGGTTTCAAAATAATTTCTAGTTGTCTTCTGTATTTCTGTGGCGTCTGTTGTGATATTGCCTTTTTCATCCCTTATGTTAGTAATTTGAGTTCTCTCTCTACTTCTCTTCGTTAGCATGGCTAAGGGTCTGTCAATCTTGTTTATTTTTTCAAAGAACCAACTTTTAGTTTTGTTAATTTTGTCAATAGTTTCTTTTGTTTCAATTTCGTTGATTTCCGCTCTGATTTTAATTATTTCTTGCTTTCTGCTGCATTTGCTGTTGTTTTGCTCTTTCTTTTCTAGGGCTTTGAGATGAAGTGTGAGCTCATTTATTTGTTGGTTTTTCCTTTTTTTGAGGAATGACCTCCAGGGGATGAATTTCCCTCTTAGAACTGCTTTCATTGTGTCCCGTAAATTCCGATAGGTTGTGTCTGTATTTTCATTTATCTCTAAGAAGTTTTTGATTTTCTCCTTTATGTCTTCTGTAACCCCTTGATCATTCAGTAACTGATTTGCATTTCTCTAATTGCTAGAGATTAAGAATATTTTTTCATATATTCATCAATTGATTGTGTATCATCTTCTAAGAAGTGCAACACTTCTTTTCCATTTTTTCATATATTCATTAATTGATTGTGTATCTTCTAAGAAGTGCAACACTTCTTTTCCATTCTTCTGAGTCAGTTTATTGTCAGTATAGGGAATAAAAGACTGGTTAACTTAAATGATGAGCAGTGAGAAAATTGAAAAAAATATATAAGAAATCCCATATATCATTCTCCTGTTTACAAAGGTAACTATTTTCCCTGTGGAAGAAATGTAGATATAAGAAAATTGAGATATAAAAACGCCACCAGAATTCTTAGAATTCAAAAAGCAGAAGAACTTCAGAGCTCCTCTCATTTGTTTCTCTCACTGGGAGGACTTGGAAGAAGGAAAGAGCATGGTTTTAGGACTGACTGCCAGCAAGTGACCAGAACCACATCTCTAGCCTGTGGCCAGCACACTTTCTACTACATCTTAAAGAATGTAGAAACTGGGCACCAGTGTGCATACCTGTATTCCCAGAGACTTGGGAGACTGAGGCAGGAGGATCACAAGTTTGGAGCCAGCCTCAGCAACTTAGTGAGGCCCTAAGCAAATTAGGGTGACCCTTTCTAAAAAAATAAAAAAGGAGCTGGGATTGGGACTCAGTGGTTAAGCACCCTTGGGGTTCAATTCCCACTACCAAAAAAAAAAAAAAAATAGGGCAGTGTCCACAGGGATCTTCTCACCTTCTCACCCTGAGATATGCTTTGACCATTGCTGTGATGCAGGATAAGATGTCACTGTCATGCAGTTAACTTTGTGCCAGCCCTTCACTTTCATTTATATTTTTTACTGATTTGTCATCACTCTGGTGTGGATGTCTCTGCCTCCCCAGAACTGTCTAGTGACAGAGCATATGTTTAAAGTGAAACTGGCTCAGTTTCCAAGCAGACACCCATGAGCTATATGCATGGGTGTCTTCCTTTTCTGTTCTACAGTATGGGGAGCATGGAAGGATGAATGTCTGCAAAATATGAAAGAATTATATGATGGAGTTTCAGAAGTCATTTAGAGGAAGAAGAAGCTAGAGTGATTAAGGGGATCTGGTGAGTTAAGGGCAGAGGCGAGGAGAAGGTGCAGAAGCTGGTTGGGGTCCTGTAGGTGGAGGAGAGGGAGGATGTTATAGAAATGGAAGTAGGAAGCGTAGATTGTAGTGTTTCCATCCAGCGAGGAGACCCAGCTGGCTGGCAGAGCAGAAGCCTTATTTGAGAAGTAGAAGGACCTAAATAGCTGAGGGTACAGCTTGAAGACAGAAAGAGAAGAGGAGGAGAGTTAACCTGAGGTGCTTCCCCCCCCCCCATGCCCGAGAATGAGGATAGCAGGACAGTGGTGTTGGGAGTGGCCTTGACCCTTTCTTTAGAGGACTATAGAAATTAATTTTTATGATTCTGTGGGGTGCCTTTCATTTTACTATTTATTTGTTCCCCCAGACTCTTCATTTTGTATCATTTGTTCCTTCCTCCTTTCTTTAGAATTGCGGCCTCACCAATGGACCTTATTGGTTTTGGTTATGCAGCCCTTGTGACGTTTGGAAGCATTTTAGGATATAAGCGGAGAGGTAAGCCAAAACATAAAATTTTCATCAAAGGAACTTACTGGGGAGTTGCTGAATGGGCTAGGATCATCTGAGGGTCTGTAAGTAGGATAAGAAGTTAATGATATCTTAGAAGGAGGTGAGGACCAGCATGTCATGGAGGGGATTCATGGAGGGAAGGGGTTTACATGGGACTGAGCATGACAGAGCATTCCAATGTGGGGCTTCTCCAGCATAAAAGTTTAATTTCACCTGCCATTATGAATTGCATAGTTAATTGATTTAACCTTCCTCAGAGCTCGCTTATTATTAAATAAGGCTTTTTGTGTTTTACATAATTATGTCAAAAACTGAGCTTTATTGGTATGTGTTGCAAAGGAAGGGATTTGTTAAATACCAAGGTAAAATACCCAAAGCCATCTCTTCATCTGTATCTAAAAGAGGGAGAAGAGCCTAGTTAATTACTTAAAGGGTTTTTATGGAGAAAAGTAAAAGGTCAAGATTTTATACTATACTTTGTTCTAAGTAGATGCATGTGTAGTCATGGTGTCACATGTTTGTTTCTTCTATTTTTAATGAGCTTTTAAAAATAAAGCGGTATTTCAAAGGGCATTACATCTGTGACATGGGTGAATTTGAATTTGAGTGAAAAAACCAGGTGTACATAGTTAGAAGTTAGGAACTTCCTTAGAGGTATCTCAGAAGCAACAGGCAGAACAGTTCTGTCTCATAGCAGAGCAACTGGCAGATTAGAATAGATTCCCTTCTAAGATTCCTTACAGATTGTAGTTCACCTTACATTTTTGTTTGTTGTTTTTCTCTGAGTATGTGTATTGTAGATATTTTTTGAAGGACAAACAATGATGCCACCAAAGTAATACCTGCAAATAATTTTTTAAGGGATGATATTTTATGATCTACTTCAAAGAGGACTCAGTGTAAAACCCTGATAGGATTGTTACTGAAGAAACAATTTTTCTTGTCAAAAACATATCTAAAAACTTATATTATATAACAGAAAAGAACACCTAAACAGTATTTTTTTTTAATGCTACCAGTGATTGAACCCAGGGGCACTTAACCACTCATCCTTCCAAGTTGCTGGGATTAGAGGTGTGCACCGCTGTGCTAGGCTTAAATGTTTTTGCTTGCCTTTTTTAGGGATGTAAAGAATTTGTGTGTGTGTGTGTGTGTGTGTGTGTGTGTGTGTGCACATGCGTGTGCACGCTCATGCACAAGCACATATGCTTATGTTTGCATTTCCTGCAGTGGTTCTTATGCCTGGCTACATATCTGAATTCCCTGTGCATATTTAAAAATAGAAATACTAGTCTTACCCTCATGGATTTAATCTAGTAGATTCTAAATGAAAACAAGTTCTGTGAAGCAAGGATTGTGTGTGCTTTGATCACAGTGTCACCAGCATATAGCTCCCTGTCTAGTGCACAGAAGTGCTCAGTGTTTATCATGGTGTCCTGGGCTGGGTGGATGGGCTGGGGACTGGCTTGTTGGGTCAGTGCCCTGTATCTTCGACTTTCTTGGTATAGTCTCCTCTGGCGCCTTAGGGCTTGATGATTTGTTAATTATTCAGGAAAAAACCATTGCTTGGCTTGCACAGACCTTCTGTCTTTACCTCTGTGAGCTAAAAATACCTTTGGGCCTCATTTTCCATCATCACAATTTCATAGTAAAAATGTAGATCCAAGGGAAAAAGCCGGGAGGAAAGAGTTCATAAAAGTGAACTGATTGCCCAAGATCATACAATCAAGTCAGCACAACTACTACAATACAACAATACAAGCTTTGTTTTTTATTCCTCCCAGTGACACCTGACCCCTGCATTGCCCTGTGTTTAGAGTCCCTCTGCCTTATGTTTTGGGGTTCAACATCAAACAGTTGTTTCTTAGAAACCGTCCCTGAAGAGACCTGTACTTAATTTGGCTCTGTCACGATGCTCTAGTAGGAATATGTTCAAAGGTGCCTGTGTTGCACTTGAAGTGATGAATGAATTCCTTTCACTTTGAGATTCTCTTTGTGAGTCCATACTTTTCTCCCCAGGTGGTCTTCCATCTTTGATTGCTGGTCTTTTTGTTGGATTTTTGGCGGCCTATGGAGCTTACCGTGTCTCCATGGACAAACGAGATGTTAAAATATCACTAT